AGACTCCTGATGGACATAGAACAGTATACACACTCCTGATGTGTATAGAGCAGTATACAAACTCCTGATGAGCATAGAGCAGTATACAGACTCCTGATGAGCATAGAGCAGTATACAGACTTCTTATGGGCATAAAGCAGTATATAGACTCCTGATGAGCATAGAGCAGTATACAAACTCCTGATAGGCATAGAGCAGTATATAAACTCCTGATAGGCATAGAGCAGTATACAAACTCCTGATGAGCATAGAGCAGTATACAAACTCCTGATGAGCATAGAGCAGTATACAAACTCCTGATGGGCATAGAGCAGTATACAGACTCCTGATGGGCATAGAGCAGTATACAGACTCCTGATGTGTATAGAGCAGTATACAGACTCCTGATGTGTATATCGCAGTATACACTCCTGATGGGTATAAAGATGTAGAGAGACATCTGATGAGTATACAGTAGTAGAGCTGTATACAGACTCTTGAGGAGTAAACAGCAACTGAAATGTAATCTAAATGCAATGAAAAGCAAGAATAATAAAGAGTGCCGAGTGCATATAAACACTTACTCAACTAAATATTGATTAGGTTTATTGTGTCTCAACTTTGAATATTAGACACAGACTTGAGCTTTGATCATAAGCAAGGTGGAGTGTGAGATGTAAGGTTAACAACTTACTGACATTCTTATGTGTAGAATTTTGCAGTTTGATTTTTCTGAGAATTTTTATATAACAAAGTAAAATCTTATTGTTTCTTTTGATTTTTTAAAAAATATGTTCTGCTTTGGTTTCAACAGGAGTTTTCAGAAGTAAATTGTTTATAAACAAATTGGTGAAATGGTTCAGGGCTAGAGTTTTGGAAATACAAATTTATATAGACACAGTTTTCCATAGTTGAGCCTAGCCCTGTAAACCTCAAATGTTTTCTGGACCCTGATTTTGATATAACTATTTTTATTTATTCTTTCCTTTAGAATCTATCCTCCTCCAGCTATGTTGTAAACAGAAGGGTCAGACTGGACTCTCTTACTTTGGTTGGTAGCCAATCCAGGAGAAGGAAAACTTTGAAGTCTAACCTGAGGAGAGCTGTTTGAAGACTTCATGGCACACTGTGCACAAATTCTCTGTTATCAGTTTTTATGAAAAGTGTAGCTGGTTCTACAAAAGACCTCACTATATAATCAAATCATCTATGTGAGTAGTTTAGCTATTCAATTCTCAAACACAACAGTTCAGCCTATGTCAAAATCAATATTTATATAATAAATATACAATGGCAGTTTCAACTTATAATATTTGTTTTTATTAGAAATATCTACAATAACTTCTTTTTTTTTTTTTAAGCATTTCACCCCAAGCAAGATGGGAGTGCCACTAGCACACAAGGGGTTACAGAGAGTTGGAGCAAGAGTAAAGAGGTATGATAGAGAAAAGGATGAAGAAAAGGGCGGGGAATTAGATCAAGGCATCTGAAGATGTCAACTGACATTGCAATTGAATAATTGAAGATTATATCTATCAGGGAAGCAAGTAAGAGGAAAGGAGTTTGACACATGGGAAGTGCAAGGCATGAAGCTATTAGAGTAGAAGAGACGGCTATATTTAACAGTTTCAACAGTAAAAAAGTGGGACTGAGATGCCAGCCTAGTAGCACACTTAAATTCATGTAGTTAGGGAACCAGCGAAAGTGGCTCTTTGAAGCAGTTACCATCAAAGTATTTGTAGAAAAAACAGAGAGAAGCAATGACATATCTGTGAGAAAGTGATTATAGATGAGATACCAGTTCAGATTCATTATCGGAAGCCACAATCTTAACAACATTAGATATGCAAACACATAAAGGAAACTACAAGAACTCCTACAGTAGGTAGAAAAGGAAAACAAGAAGAAAGGACTAAACTATGTTAGGTATGTTAAAATGTACAATCTTAACAACATAAGATATTCAGATGACACAGTGTTGATAACAAACACAGAAAGGAAACTACAAGAACTCCTACAGTAAGTAGAAAAGGAAAGCAAGAAGAAAGGACAAACATTAATTGTATGAAGACAGCAAAAACAAGAGTCCAACATGTGAATTATTAATTGGACATGCCAAAATGGAGAATTATTTTAGCAGAGGATGGAAAATGTGACACCAAAATCTAAAGGCACATTGAGACAGCAAAAATGCCTTTCAAAATCTAAGCAAAGTATTAAGAAACAGGAAAATTTCATTAGAAACAAAGAAAAGAGTACTTAACTGTTATGTAATATCAGTCCTCCTATGTGGTAGTGAATGCTGGACAATCTCCTCACAGATAACGAAGACTTGAAGCAACAGAAATGTGAATCTACAGAAGGATGCTGAGAAAACCAGGGACTGAACATGTGAGCATTGACAAAGTTTTAGAGGAAATGGAAACAAAAACAGCATGTGCATTTAACATTAGAAAGAGAGCATTGAAATTTCTAGGGCACATAATAAAAAAAGAAGGCTTAGAAAATTTGACACTGACAAGACATATTGAAGGTGAGAGAGACAGTAGAAAATGGTGCATAGCTTAACAAGCTTGTGTAAATGGTTGGCAGAACACAAATTAAAAGAGATAGTGAAAAGGCAAACTTTACTAGGAGCTAGAAAGGACAGTAAATTGTGGAGAGCCATGATCACCCATATCCTGAAGAGACATGGCACATAGAAGAAGAAGTAATAAACATGTATTAACTATCATGAAAATAATTAAAAAAGCAAGTGTTGCAAATCTAAACAGATAGAAAAGATGCAGAATATTGAGAACATTAGATAAAGGCATGAAAGCAACCGGACTATACCACCTTTAGCCAAACATCACATTGGAAAATTATTTCCCAAAAGTAACATTTTTCATGATGAATGTAGAGCTAAATTGGAAATTATGAAAAATGAGCAATCAATATGGCTTCAAAGGCAACAGAGGGGATGGTGTAATATTTTGGACTAGTATTATAGGCACTAAAAATATGTCATTCAAAGTTGATGACAGTCTAAAGAAAAAGGCAAAGATTTATTGTATGTTCTTTTACAAAAAAATGTTTTTAGTAGTACAAGCAACAAGCAAAAAATCATTAAGCCAGAAAAAGATAATGTTCCTTTATAGGCTGCAAATAATATAAAAGTTAATAAAATGAAAGGCTGAAAGGTTACAGAATCTAAGGGTTCCATATTAAAATCTAAAATAATAATTAATTCAGGTATAACTATTAAATATATATTTCTTATATCTTTTTGGGTGGATTTATTAATAATAATTTAAGTTGCACATTGTATAATAAAAATCAAAACAAGTTATTAACAATATTTTTTAATAAGCTGAAACACACATATATAAGTATATCCTAAACTTCTGTTAACTCATTTTTTGATTTTAATTTCCATTCAAGAAAATATGGTACCTGAACAGTTGGTATCTTAAGGATATTTAAAAAGTATACACTTAAAAAATTTATCAAGTTTTTCTCATTATAGTCCATATTATTTACAGCAGCAAGAAGTTACATGGAGGCCCAAAGTGGCACTTCAACGATCAGCTGAAAACACCTCTGACACAGGCCAACATTGACCCTGTGATCTGGGAAACCATTGTAGCCTTTCTGGAGTAGGACATCTGAGTGGGGACTGAAATGTTTGAGTTCAACTGTCAGCATGAAGAGGATCTGCAACATGCTGTCAGGAGGGCCCAACTCGCCCAGCCACATCCATCACCCACACTCCACTGTGACTCCTGCTCACAACCCTTCAGGTGTAGGCTGGCCCTTCACAGCCATTTCTGTCACCACCACCAGAGGGGAGAAAGAGAATAAGGAAAGAGGATGACGACCCCAATATTCAGATGCGAGTGTGTGTTGACTTATTATTTACATTTATAAAAATTAAAATTCATATTAGATCTTGCCTTCACTTTGAAGAATAAAGTATAATGAAAATCTTGGTAAGATTTATCATGGCCTTATTTAAAATTCTCTATCATCTCAGATGTCTTTAATAAATGACATTTACAAAGGTTTGTCCATCACAGAAAATATATGTTACTATTTTGGTTACTGCCTTATTGGATGAGGGATTAATTACCTGCCTCTAACGAGAGTTGGATAAGGAGAGATAAAATAGGGTCCACGTGTTGCATGAATTGGACAAAAAGTACTTAAGCATCAAAATAAATACTTAACAGAATTTTGCTAAACATTGAACAGTAAACGCAACAATATTGAAAGCCAGATAAAATAACGTTTTCTTTTGGAGATGAACATATAAATATATGCTTTACAATAATCACATGATGATTAGAAGCCAAAATTAATAGAATGGATCATGATACTTAATTTGATTCACTAAATGTGATTATATCATTTGCTTTTACAAAGCTGAGGCAAAGCAACATCACAAAGCAAAATAAGGCATTGCTAATTAATTTAAATGATTCTTGTATGCTTAAAGAAATATGAATCAAAGAAACTCACCTATAAATATTTCTGGAAGAATTCCCATTTTGTAGATCAATTAAGTGATGAATAAATAAGTGAGTGATCAAGAACTGATTTAGGAAAGAATTAATAATTTACACAACAAATGTGAAAATGAGCCTTTTGTGAGCGATAAAGTTCCAAATTTTCTTCATTTGTTGCTTATCAAAAAAAATGACAATTATACATTCTCAGTATTCCATAGTTAACGGAAGGAAAAGTCATTTTCAAACAAGATTTTAGAAATAAACCAAACAGATTCCCTTGAAATGTTGGCATTTTTCCTTCACAGCTCATCTGATCAACTTATTAAAAGCTTTCTGCTATCATTTCTTTTTATTCTATTACTGAGTATTATAGAAGAACTTATTATGACTTGTGGTCAATGATTCCATGGAAGTTTGATGTTTTAATGAGAAACTTGATGAAGACCATTCTACAGATTTTGGAATTGCATGTGTCTAAGGGGATTCTGCTATCTCTTGTGAAACATATTTGTCTCTCGTCATCAAGAACACTCATTGCATATCAGAAATGCCACTGTCCACTGTCGAAGGACTGGCATCAAGCCACTGGCTACAATCAGGAACATGAGCAATATTTGGTCTATTAAATCTCCTTGAACTAATAATCTTATCTTCAGGGAAAAAGAACTTCTGCTGTACAGGTTCCATGTATCTGTTCTGGGTTTGATTTTCATTTGTCTGACGAGGTTCAACATAATCTGCATTTGTGACAACTGGAAAAAATACAAAACAAAAAAAGATATAATTTTATTAAATGGAACAATTATGTTACTCAAGCAGAAAATCAGGTAAATTATGTGCATTAGTCGCAATGAGAAGAAATGCAAAACAAAAGAAATTGTCTTATTCAAGAAGACAATGATGTAAAAGATATTGATATTTCTACGTAGTTTCAAAAGTTATAATTAATCCTGTTAGAAAAGAGAAGCATTTTATCGAGTAGATAATATGATAGAAATATATGACAATAGTTTTTGTTATTTCAGATAAGTTTTACAGCAGAAATTTTTTTTTTTATCATTTCTCCCAAAGTAAGGTGATAAAGCCACTAAGACATCAAGGGATGCTGAGAGTGAAAGAAACTGAGAAAATATTATTGAGTTGAAAGGATAAAAAAAATGACAAATTGTTAATGCATTTAAAACTTTTGAAGAGCATAGTTGGCAAAGTAGCAGAATCTGAAGGAAGAGTGGAACAACACAGAATCCAAGTGGATGGCAACAGATGAAGGAAAGTGTAACACAGTGATGCAACGGCGCAGTGTGAAATTTTCAGAGTTAGTAGTGATTTAGGTGGAATACCATTTGGTTTGCTGTGTTCTATTAAGTCTAAAGTCAAGTCCAGGAGATTTTAGATCATTTGTGGCTTTCATCTGCAGATAAGCATTATGGGAATTCTAATTTCCTTTACCACAGCACCAAAAACTCCGAATAACTGGTTTGCTGACTATAGTATTTCTTGATTGGTCAGCCATCTTGTCTGACCAGAAATCCATAGAGAATCCATGGTGTGTTATCAAAAGGAAGATGAAAGACATTTAAACCAACAATATAGACAAGCCACAGACCACGATCAAAACAACTTGGGTATCCATAACACCTCAGCAGTGCCACAGGCTGATTGTCTCCATGTCATGCCTCATTGAGGCAGTAATTCATGCAAAAGGAAACCCAACCAAGTACTGAGTGCATAAATGAACAAACTTTTGAGAATTTTAATCTTTCAGTATCATAAATGCTTTCTTGTTAAATTGATCTTATGAAATATTCTAAAATATTGAGATAGCGGATTTTGATTTTCATGTAAAAATTAATCATGACAATTAAAACAAAAAAAAATATCTGTCTGAATTTCTGTTAATTTGCTGACATCGTACTTGTGAGTTCAATCCCTTGAAATCATCCTTGATAATGGCTAAAGGAATAGCCAAAAGCACTCTGACATACAAAACATTCAATTTCTACATAATTTACGACCATAAAAGAAACAATTATAATACAACAAAAATTAAATTAAAAAACTTAACTACATGGACCTTGTCAGGCATTTTCAACAGAACTTATATATATATATATATATATATATATATGGTGAACTCTTCTTTCATATTTGACGTATGAGGAACCAACAGACACCAGTGCATAATGAACCACACTTTTTGAAGGGCTGAAAACAGAGACCTGGTACACTACGTGCCACAAGGTCCCCAAACAACCCTCCGCAGATTTTGAATTCAGAGCTGTCCTTCTCCTAGACCAGTTGCCATCCAGAGAACCCATTCTGTTCTGCTATTTACCCATAGCTAGAGGGACCAGAAGAGGATTCATACCTTTCCCAAGGGTATTAGCACATAAGTGAATGTAATGGATTCAACTGGAATTTGAACTTGAGTCTCCAATTCCTCAATCTGACCTGCTATCCACTACTCATATATATATATATATATATATATAAAATGTTGACATAAAAATAGATTCAAATTTTCATAATATAGATTTTACTTTATATATTTCTCTAACTCTTCAATGTTGAATGTATAACTAATTCTAATTTTTACATCATATTAATTATATCTTCTAATTGTCCCCTGTTCTAAGAAATCTCTTTCTTTTATCACTTACACCTATTTATCTATATATTTTAAGTTATTTTGTTTTTTTTAATTATAAATTTTTTTAATCATAATCTAACTTAATTTTAATATAAAATTTCTAAATTTAACTTATTTTTAATTTCTAAAATATATTTTACTTTGAAGTATAATTTATCTTTGGAAGAGTGTTTTTAAGTAGGAACTTGTATTTTTTTAAACTTAACCTTATCTACATAATTTTATTTAAAAAAAACCCTTTTCATTCCTCTCTTAGTTCCAAATTAACACTTCATTCTCCATATAACCACAATTTAATGTCATAAGTATAATACCAGGGTTTAATTTTATGAAACCTCTTCTCTTTAAGGCTAATATCTTCCACACTCACCTGACCACTGTCTTGTGCTTTTTGTCTGACAAACATTGACTTGGATAAATTCTGTATCAATTTTTTGAATGCTGTCACAGTTAAATTTCTAATTCCGACACAAACTCAGTCTGTATACCGGGGTTGAATAAGACTGACAAAGTTTTCATCAGTTGAAATAGGTCTATACCACATTTGAGGTAATTTTGGATTTTATGGTCTACTACTAATTGTTTACTATGTATAATAAATACATTGAACTCTTTTTGTGAATCAGTTTTAATATTTTATATTACTAGGATCCACTTGGATTATATACCAATGAATATTTTACCTTTAATATATATAGGTGTTTGTGTGTTGTAACTACCATCTGCCTAAACTTTCAAACTTGAAGGATATTAAAGCAACAATAAGAGGATATTTATCTTTGTAAAAAAAAGTTTTGCATTCACCAAGATTGTCCAACTAATGCAAACATTAGATGACTGAATATCTTATTAGTCAACAAAGAGATTTTACAATAAAGTAAACATATTAGATTTTATGGCAAATAAGAAATAAGTTTTTTATAACAACACAAAAAAGACATTTTATATTAAATCAATCTAAAAAAATCCAAACTAAAAATGAAAGGCAAAGTTATTTCAAATTCATTATTCTTTGCTCGGTTCTATTTTTGCCTAATATTTACATTAGGCAATATTGCAAATGATTTTCAAGAACATACCTGGTGGCTGCCTGGTTCCTCGTATATCTCCATCACTCCAAGCGTCTTCACTGTCAGTGTGAGTTGTAATCAATTGTCTTTGAGAATCGGCAATCATAAACTGCCTTTGGTCATTTCCATCAACATCATCAATTTCCTGAAAGTAGAACAAAAATATAACATCATAAACTCACCATTAATTTTCATTTGTATATTTCTACATTGACTTTATGTTTTTCTTGAGCATTGTTTATTTCCTGGTTAAAATAAACAATAATGTATTTCCTTTCTTTAAAATGTTTTGGTTTTATTTCTTTAATGATAATTACGATATTACATTGTTTTTCTCAAAATGTTGTTCCAAGAAGATTAGGTCTTAGGTTTGTATATTATCCATTGCAAATAAATGACTTAACCTTGGACTGATTTAAAATTTTCAATAAAAATTTTAACAATATTTAAACTTTATGCCTGCAAAAAACGCTATGTTAAAAGGACACTTATTCTTTTGACACAGCTATGAGTGAATACACTTTTGACTCCCTTAGAAATAGTTCATTTCTTTTTAAAAAGTGATGATTAGAATTCTAATAAAACCCAAACATATGAAAAATGGATTTACACATTTTCTTTATCCTTGAGAATTGACAACAAAGATATTAAACAATATTTATTTATTAGACTGCGTATTTAATCTGTCAGATTATCTAGAAGAGCACAGCAGAATCAAACCGGAAATAGGACAAGAACAGCAAAGGTTCGTCAAAGACACTGGAACAAGGAAATCTGATACTCATAGCACAGAGAAACAGAGGAAAACAATGCATACAATACTTGAGCTTGAGTGAATGAATAACAGAACAGGGTTTAGGAGAAATAACAAAAAGACAGAATTTCTTAAGAACCAGAAAAGACAGGAAATTGTGGAAAGCCATGACTGCCTATGCCCTGAAGGGACATGATACACAAAGAAGAAGATGGTATTTGAACATTACACCATGAGAAGCACTTTCTGCATCTATTAGAGCCATGACTGGAGTTAAAAGATGAAAATGTCTAACAGTGATTGAAAGTGCTCAAAAGTACTTGATGCTAATGTCAACACACATTAATTTTCAAGCCATGTCCTGAAGATTATGTTCAAGTATGAAACAGATTGTCACAGCGAGCTGTCAACCTCAGTTGGCATTTATATTTACGTACACAGTCTCTAGATACTGAGCACTTTTACCAACAAATAGAGCATACCTTAAAACTATATCTTTTATCATATATGTATATATGTGCTTAAAATCAAAAATACCCACTGAACATAAAGAATTATTTAAAAGTTTTTCAAAAAAACCTAGAAGTAGGGTTAACCTATAATTGCTGGAGTTTCAGGATTTGCAATTCTTTTACTGAGATCACGATTATAAAACAAAATTGGAAAATTAAAAGAAGAATTAATCTGAGATATAAAATAATCTGAGAAGTGTTATCTTTGGAAAATCATGTTTATTCAAACTTTCTTGTTTTATAGTTCATTGATATTTTTATAAGACTATCAATAAAAAGAAACTTGTTTCCATAGTTATTTATAAAATGGTAAATAATAAATATTGCATTGTATATTTTGATAATTTTCTAATTTCGCTATAAATTTTTGAATACATCATTTCTTTTCAAATTAAAATAGTAAATAATAAATATAGCATTATGTATTTTGATAATTTTCTACTCCTTTATAGATTTTTGAATAAATACATTTCTTTTCATATTATTTCTTCAGAAAATGGTAAATAATAAATCTTCAGAAAATGGTAAATAATCAATTGTACTTGGTTCAGATGTTTTTATAATCCTTTAAATAAACATTGCTAAGTGTATAGTACGTGCGGTGTCAAGGGAATAACTGTTCTTTTGACACGCCATTTTTTTTATGGGCAGGAATGTTAAACTTTGCCAAAATTATTTTTTTTCTCTGATGTCTTATACTGTATGTAACTTGCCCAAAAGGTATTTATCTTAATATCTTCCCTATGGTATTATGCCATTATGTACTTTTAAAATAATGTCTTTAGAAGTTTTTGTCTTCTAAAAATTAAAACTGAGCTAATACATAAAAAACATCCATACATTCAGTTAAAAGTAAAAATAAAATCATCCTTGATAATGGCTGAAAGTGTTTGGACATACAAAACATTTGGACAATTTCTACACAATTTATGTCCAGAAATGAAAAAAATTATAAGTAAACAAAAAAAATCAAATAAAAAACTTAACTGCATTACTTTGTTTAATGAAACATATTAAATATATATATATATATATATATATATATATATATATATATATACACTGGGGTGTGTATATATATATATATATACATATATATATACACGCACTGGGTGTGATGGATAAATTGTACAAAAATTCAAATAACACTGACATCACATTTTAACATATATATTTACCAAAATTACACAAAAATATTTTGAAATACTAAAGAGTAAATTTATTTAATCAAATCGCCACTGGCTCCAACCACAGCCTTCAGACGACTTCGGAATTTCCTGCAACTCTTCTGGATAGTCTCCTCATTTAAATTGGTAAATGCTGCCATAATCATTGCCTTCAGTTCATCTTTGGTATTACAAGGAGTTTTGTTGGTCTCTTGCACCCAATAATAATCAAGGTGGTTGCCATCTGGGGAGTTAGGTGTAAGGGATGATGTGATCACAGAAATTGTCTGACAGCCATGACTAGGTTTTCCTACTTGTGTGACATGGTGCAGAGTCCTGTTGCCAAACATAGGGTCTTCCAGCAGCCACCTTCTTGACTCAGGGCAGCATTACCTCCTCAAGGTACTTGATGTAGGCCTCTGTGTTAAGTCTGAGGCCATGTGGGAAGATGAATGGAGGCATAATGTCACCATCACTAATGATCACTCCAAACACCTTTGTAATTACCATTAGACTCATCGAACTCTTTCCAAATGCTCTGCACTATCCTCAGACTGACACCCAAACACTGAAATGTTTGTATTGGAGCTTTTGGCATGAATACCAAGAAGTACAGTATGCCATTTCCAAATTTCTGGTGGAGGGAATTGTGTTATGGTGTTCTTTTTCTCAGATGGTGCCCAACTGACCCTACTATACTGTGCAGTCTACAAAATCAAAAACAAACATGTATGTGTGAAATGAAAAATATAAAATGGCAAAAATTTCCCCATCACACTCTATATATATATATATATATATATATATATATATGAAATGGACAAAGTCCGACAATTATTTTAAGACATTTGTCGGAGGACGCATATTTTCTATGAAAATTTCTCTGACATTCAGGCCAGTAAATGTTGTTAATACTGTTTATTATAAACAGAGCATTTACGTAAATATTTGTATCTATAAAAAAAAACGTATAAACATAAAAAATGCATTAAAATATATATATATATATATATATATATATATATATATATATGTATGTATGTATGTATGTATGTATATATATTTATTGTGGAAAAAGTTTCCTTGTGATGAATTTTGTCCTTTAGGACTTCAGACTAAATTTGTTATTTTGGTGTGACTACACATGCATACAAATGAGGTATATTGTGAATTTAAATATTTTTTAATAATTTAAAAAATTTTAAAATATTTTTCCCAATATTCTTCTTAATATATAAAAATATATATTGTTAACTCATATTATATATATAGATATGGTTGTCTTTTAAGATGTAATTGTGTGATACAATTACACATTCTTCATAAATCAAAAGGAAATGAACTGCTAATTTTACCTTGAACATAAATGATAACCAAGAAATGTGATAATCAATAAACATTCAGCACACAGAGTTCTATTAGAAAATTTTAAAATAAATGCAATCTGTAAGCAAATGTGTGAAAATAAGGGTAACTTTTTTTAGAAAAAAAAAATAGAGTCCATAATTGGTATGAAGTAAAAATAGCTTCTCACATGATCCTATTTTTTGCTATTTTTTTTTATCAATTATACCTGTTTTGAAGACTGGCTAAAAATGATGAACAGAAATAGATGGGTGTAGAAAAAAAATTGAAGTAAAAATATAAAAGATTTTGTTTCTTCTTCCACAGTTAGACAAGAAAAACAATCTCCCTCACCCTCAATTCTAAATTACTCTGTTGCAGATGGAAGATAACACACTATAGACCAACATTTCTTAACCTTTTTACCCTTGTGCTATCCATGAAATAGTTTTTATATCTCAAGAACCCCTACTTAACATTATTATATACCGTTATTAATATCTCTTCTATATTTTTATCATGGTTCACATGATAAACCTTATATATGGACATAGTACATGCATCCTGTAATCGAGTGAGTCACTCAATGATACACAAATCTGCCACATGAAGATCCTGTCCACTAACCAGAGAAGGTAGTTCCACACTGATGTCACAGACATCGTTAAATACATTTCTTTGATTATTATAATTTTAAATAATATAAGAGGTTAAAGCTTTCATCAAAATAACCAACAATATACTGTACACATTTAGTGAAATAACAAATATAAAATTCAACAAAAATTACTCAAAAACATATTAGTGTATTTATCACTATTTCTCATGGTACTCCTAGTAATCTCTTGCAGAACTGGTTGAGAAACACTGCTGTAGAGAATAGATGCAGGTAAAACTTCAAGCCTTACACGAGTATAATTTAGATAGAAAATATTCATATTGATTGGTTATAAAGATGTGAGCAATTATTAAAATACTTTATTATGTTTATACTCCTTTGAGAATGAATGCAAGGCTGTATTTATAGACAAGACGAAAAACCATGCCAACCATGTGACTAAAGCACCAACCTCAGATCAAATCTTCCCCTGCGACCACTGCAGCAAAAATTACTTGTCCCTCATTGGATTAGTCAGCCACCAATGAAACTTCAGCAGGTTATGGACAGCCCTCCTCCTGGATATTTGCCCACATAGCCAATCAAGAATAAGAACAGGTTTCTATTATTCAGTTAATAAATTTTTTGACTTGAGAAAAAATGTTTTATATGAGGTGATTCCGAGAGAAATAGAATTCCTAGCAGGATTCATTACTGGAAGTCAGCATCAACATTAGATATACAGATGACACTGTATTGAAAGCAGACACAGAAAAGAAACTACAGGAACCCCTACAGAAGGTAGTAAAGGAAAGAGAGAAGAAAGAACTAAACATATAAGAAGATAGAATATATGGTTGTTAGCAAAAAGAAGAGCCAGTGCAAAAATTTAAATATCTACGCAATGTTTTAACAAGGGCTATTAATGATTATTTAGGAACAACTTTTTAAATACTATATGTCACAACTATTATGATAGATAGGTAGTATTATTCATTAATCTGTCCCATAATAGTTGTTACATTTGCATACATATTTCAGATGCTAAATGTTTCAACTATTATGGGACATGTAGTTTTCTTTATCACATCTGTCCTATAATAGTTATTCCATGTCAATACATATTTCAGATGCTAAATGTATCAATTATTATGGGACAGAAGTAGTATTATTTATTAGAAAATTACACAAACAAATCAAAAAGACACACACACACACATCTCCGACTGATACCAAATCAGTCAGGTTTCGATAGCAGGTTGAGGCAATTGGATATCTAATCACACTGATGAGCTGTGAAACAGCAAAACAGTCTGTCTGTGGATAACTATATATATATATATATATATATATATATATATATTTGATGTATTTGGTATCAACAAAAAATTCTTAAATATAGACTTTTAAACACAAAGCAAAATTTATAATGAGAGTTAGTCAGGTAAGTTCCATATGTGATACATGCATGGGCAATCATGTTTCTTTCGACTGATTAGGCAGGAGATTTCCCCATAGTAGGTTGCCATTTCATTCAGTGGTAGAGTTAATGCCAACTAAGGCCAGAGGACCCAGTCTATCCTGCTATTTAACCCATAGCTGGTGGGAATTCATACCTTTCCCAAGTATATTTACACATGAGTGAATGCAACAAACCCGACTGGAATTCAAACTCTGCACTCTAATTCCTCAATCCAAGCTGATATCCATTTATATCACAACACACATGATGATAGACATTTGCTAAATTCCATCATTTTACTGAAACCTATTTCATTTGATAAATGTCTTTTTTATTAACATTCTTGGCCCCAGCATTAAAAGTGGTAAGAGCAATTTCTTTCTTACTTAAGAATCTATGTACTTTAAAAGATGTAAAAAATAAATCCTTTTCAAGAAGGAATAAATATTTAAATATTGCTTTTTTTTATCATTCCAAGCACACCTTCTGTTACTGATACTATTCTTGTTTTCAATTTCCAGTTTTTCTTTTTCAATTTCCAGATCTTTATACTTCATCTTTATAATATTGTTGTTGTCATTTCTACTACTACTACTACTACTACTACTATTATTATTAATACTACTATTATTATTATTATTTTTTTTGTTTAGTACAGTCTCTGACTAGGTCATTATCTGAGACCTGGGATAAGGCAAGGTTGTAAATATATGCATTCTGTTATGACATCCATTCAATTCTGCAACATTTTTTAATATATTCATAGGATATTGATATTTGTTGGCAATAATGCAAAGGAAAACTGTAGGAAATATATGACAAAAAAATTGTCATCTATGTTTCATTCATTGTAAAGGATAAGTCAGTTAGTTATGTGCCATGCATAATACATGCTTAGGCAATCATGTATCTTTCAATACATGACTGATGAGGCAGAGTTTTTCCCTGTAGTAGGTTGCCATTTCTTTCTGCAGTAGACTAGTTGCCATCCAAGGCTATAGAACCTGGTATGTCCAGCTATTTATTTATTTAAGAAGAGGATTCATACCTTTCCCAAAGGGTATTATTACATAAGTGAATGTAATGGATTTGACTGGACTTTGAACTTGGCTCTCCAATTCTTCAATCCAAGTCATTATCCATTAATCTCCCCAGCTATGGGTAAATAGCAGGACGGACCAGGTTCTGTAGCCTTGGATGGCAATTGGTCTACTGCAGAAAGAAATGACAACCTACTGTGATAAAAGCACTATCTTGTCAGCCATGTATCAAAAGATACATGATCGCCTAAGCATGTATCACGCATTGCACATAATTGACTGATTGTAAAGGATACAAAGCGATTTTGAGGATCTGATTTTGAAAATGAAGAAACTGGTTTATATGCAACAAAATAAAACAAAAAATGGTGCAGCCCCAATATTCAGAATATGTGATCAAGATGTTGAGACTACTAACCACTGCATGTCTGGTTGTCCAATCTTGACATTGAAGGAATACAAATATCAACAGGATAAGATTAGGCAGTATATTACTAGAAGATATGTCATTATTACTGCTGAAAATTGGTATGAACATCACCCTGAAACAGTGACAGAAAGCCATGTGATCACAATTCTTTGGAACTTTATCATTCTTACTGACAGACATACAAAAGCTAATAGACCAGTCATTGTAATTAAAGACAACAAACAAAAAAAGAATGCTTTCTCATAGATATGGCAATAGTAATACCAATATATCTGTTAAAGAATATGACAAACATATCTAAGGATTTTGAAATTGGAAAAATGTGGCACTTTAAAACCTATAATAATTGGCGCCTGGGGTATGATTAAAAACAGTACAGACAAGAACAATAACAAATAGCAGTATCTACTAAGAGATTAAAATATTTATACAGTATGGAATGACTCATTTACTCAGAAGAGTATTATTAAATATAAACACTGTACATATTAAGTAGCACTTAACATCAGAATTTGTGCAAACAAAATGCATATATTTCCAACCTTACCTTATCTTATAATAACCTAGTCAGAGATTGTACTAAACAAAAACAAAAATAATAATAAAAGTAGTAGTAATAATAATAATATTATAAAGACAAAAGTTTTAAGACCTGGAAATCAAAATAGAAAAAATGTGGGAATTGTAAACAAGAATAATACCAGTCATAGTAGGTGTGCTTGGAATGATAAAAAAGGAACACATCAACACACTGAAAAATCCTTGGAAATTCCAGCTTAAGAGAAATACAAAAAATTGTCTTGATAAGTACAGCCCATACACAAAGAAGAATTTTTTTATTTAATGTTAGTGATGTTATGTGAGTTAGAAAAATAAATCATGAAATGTAGCCAAAACAACACATAACAACCTACTTTAGGTCTTCCTGCAAACTTAGTAGGTTGTGTGACCGTAACAGAAATCGAAATATAATGATGATAATGTAATAATAATAATAATAATAAACTAGTATGAACATCACCCAGACTCGATTACAGAGATATGACCTGAAACAATTTTATGGAATTTTACAATACACAGAGACAGAACAATCAAAGTTAATTGCCCCAGACATCGTGATCAAGGGACACAAGAACTGAATGTGATTTCTTATTGACATGGCGGCAGTCCCTCCAGACTGTAACGTATTCTTGAAGATAAGGACCTTGAAATGGAAATCTCAAAAATGTGACACGAGAACATCAATAATTAAAATTGTACTTGGAGCCCTCAGATTGAATGGAAATGGTTCCGATAGACTCATTAAAGGGATTCCTGGTAGCTCATGCTTTAAAGAGATACAAAAAAGTTTAATCGCATGTACAGCTCACACATTACAAAGAGTTTACCTATGTAAAATGTGTGTGAGCTGAGGTTTTTTTTTGTTTATTTTTTTACAAAAATAATCAGTGGAAAATGTTATGAAGTCATTTCTGACCATAAGTGTCTGGTAGGGACCCAGAAGGAAATGTGTATACTACAGAAATCAAAGGAAATAATAATAATGATAATAATAATAAAATGATGATGCCTACCTGATAAATGACATCAGTAACTTTTTGGAGCCTTGTTGATAAGACAGAACTTTTCCGTCCTTTCGCATATTTATCACTAGAGGGCACTGCACGTTTTTGTCGAACTGGTGGAGGAGGCCTTGCTCGATTTGGTGCAGATCCCCTCACAACTGGAGCATCAGACCAAGCAGCAGCCAAATGTGGGTGGACAATCAAATGTCTTTGCTGGTTAAAGGTTTTCTTGGGTAGTTTAACTGCAGCAGCTTTGCGTGCAGCCTTTCTGCGATCGTTACATCGAATACAGCAGATTGAAAGACCTGCTGTAATGGGCACGGCTAGGGTCACAGCCACCAAAACAATAACAATTAGTAAATACTGATGGATCCTGTCACTTAATTGTGGCTTTGTAGAATTGAAGACATAATCAGATGTTATATTGCTCACACTCAATATTAAAGATAAATTAGTGCTTGCTGATAGTACAGGGATTCCACTATCTTTTACAGCAAACCGTAAGTCATATGAACCGGCATCTTGTTGCTTGAACTCACGATTGAATGATAATAAACCAGTGTAACGGTTCAATTTGAACATCTTAGCTTTATTGCCGCCAATTATTTCATATTTCAAAAATGCATTCTCTAGGCTATCTTTGTCTGATGCTTTTAGAATTGTAATGTTCTTTGAGTGATGCGGATAATAAACGACATCCATGCTATATGGATTAACACTGGGAAAGGTGAAATATGGAGCATTATCATTTTCATCAATAACTTCAATCTCCACATTCACTGTATTGTTCAAAGATGGGGTTCCATTATCTTCAACCAAAACCTTAAACTTGTAAATCTTTTGAAACTCATAATCCAAAGACATAATTGTGGAGATTAAACCATTTTCTGATATGCGAAAAGGGAAAAACTGTTCTTTGTTGCTTGTTAATAGGGAATAAGTCAGTTTTCCTCCATGACCCAGGTCAGGATCAGTGGCATTGATCCAGCCAACTTGTGATTTGGCTTTTTGGTTTTCTGCAATTGAGAGCTTGATTGTTTGCTCACCAAACTGTGGTTTTACATCATTGACATCCGTCACTTGGACAGAGAATTTTGTCTCACTGTGAAGAGGCGGAGATCCTTTATCTTGACAAGTGATTGTGATGTCATGATGATCTTGTGCTTCTCGATCAATTGGCTTTTTCACAATTATTTTATATTTTTTAGTGTCCAGTTTCTGAAGCTGAAATTTATCATGATGTAGGCTGCAAGTGACATCTCCATTGCTGCCAGCATCTTCATCTATGACTTTCACATAAGCAATGAAACTGCCAACCCTGATGTCTTCAGAAATCGTTGCAGTTTTTCCTTCAGAAGCAGATACAAAATTCACATCAATTTTTGGAGGATTGTTCTTTTCATTGACCACATTTACTTGAACCATTGCAATCGATGTTAGTGGAGGTGTACCTCCATCATGGGCCTCAATATACAATTTAGATATTAACTTTTCACCAAATGAAAATTTCCTTTTAAGGAAAATCTCCCCTCTCATTTCATTTAATTTAAAGTGCGATTTGGCACTATCAGATGTCTTTGAGGAAAAATAATATTTAACTTTGGCATATTCCCCAGAATCTAAATCTTTGACCGACAAAATAACAATTGGAGTTATTTCACTTGGTTCATTCTTTACTGTGACATTGTAAACATTTTGAAAAAAAACAGGAGGATTGTCATTTACATCAGTGACAGTAATGTGTACATCTAAAACACTTTGTTTTGAAGGTGTTCCTCCATCCTTTGCAATTACATGAATAAGGTAAGAGTTCTGTTTTTCTCTATCCAAATCATCTTCTAATTTGATACCAAGTCCTGAAGATCCATCTATTCTTTTAGAAACATCCAAGCTAAAAGGTTCATTTTTATTTTTCATAAGCTGATAATCAATTTGAGAATTAAGAGGACCAACATCCCTATCAATTGCATTTGGTATTAATTTCTTTTTACCCTTTTTATCATCCTCTGAGAATTCAATGTTGATGAGTTTTTGAGGAAATTCTGGTTTATGATCATTAACATCTTCAATGATGACTTTGATTTCCAGAATCTTCATAAAAGACTCAGCTCTCCTCACAGCAATGTCCACCATTTCGTAACATTCTGTATTGAAAGTACAAAGAGACTCGGCATCTAGTCTCTGAGTTGTATAAAATTTGCCTGATTTCTTGGACACTTTGAACAATTGTGAACTGCCAACTGAACCTTGTTGTAGAAGACTGAACGTTATCAGGTTTCGATCTTGAGATGCTATAGAATCCAACAGGTGAGAATCAGCAGCAATATTCCCCAGGTATAAACCGGGGCTCATTCCTTCTTGTACATGATAGATCAAGTCCACACTGGCAGAGCTGTGTAGGACCAGTAGCAATACAGACACTGATACTAACATGGTACATTCATGGATCCAAAATTAAATTTTGGCATATCATCCAATGATATCTGAAATTGTAAAATAAAGCAATTTAAGAATAGTAGAGATTAGGTAAATTCAAGAGAAATAATTTAGTTTGTGCAAAAAGCTACAAAGAAGGGCTGAAAATCTCTAAGTCTTGCCATTTCCTTAAATCTGCCAAAATAAACCAACATCAATTTTTTTTTTAAATGTCTTCTTTGTTGGGTTTAAAACTTTTAAACAGTCCTGAGAATATAAAATCCTTTACAGATAAAAAAAAAAAAAAATTATGCCAATATGATTTAACAAGTCAATAATTTGGTTTCTTCTTAGAGAAACTGTCCCAATATTAGCCATTGAATACTATTATGTAAATGAAATTTGGTAAGTTAAATTGTTTTATTCAAAATGAAATTCTGAAAAAAGTGTGCTGAAAAGATTCAATTATTTAATTCAATGTAATAACCTCAAGTTCAAACAACAAAAGAACTTGAGATGAAAAATATTTTGTTAAGAAATAGGTTATTATTTTTTTATTTTAAATGTCTTATAAATCTCATTACTGTAATCTTTACTACAGCTTCCAGTGTATATATATATATATATATATATATGTATAAATTTTTTTATTCAATCAAGCCAATTTCATTTAGATTCTTTTTATCACTTTTGTTATTTGATATCCCACACTGTGATAACAGAAGTTCTGCCAGGAATGATGAAATGTTGCACCCTTCTATTACCACAGTGTTAGATACTTAATAACAAAAGGGATAAAAGAAAAACAATCAAAGTGAAATCTGCTAGAGAAGATTTAAAAAATTTTTTAAATTCCCAGCATCTCTCGTTCATGTGCATGTGTAGTCACATCAACATAACAAATTTAGTCCAGTGAAGTCCTAGAGGACAAAACATGTCACAAGAAAACTTTTTCCACTTTGTCAAACATCTCTCTCTCTCTTATATATATATATATATATATATATATATATATATATTAGTGAGTTATTGCTTTCATATATATTTAACATTTCTCCCCATTCTTTTGAACAGGAATAGCTGCTTTCTGTTTAGGACTGGGCTTCCAGTTCCTTCTAAATTCTATAACCCTATACTTCTAAGTTCTCTGTCTAAACTCTGAAATTTTATTTACTGTTTATTTATTTACTTTCCTCAATAGGAGTAGATACCTTTGTCTGTTATCAGGGTCAAATTCCTCCCCGGCCTTTTCAACAGGGGTAGAGGTTTTTATCATTTGTTTCCTGCTTAAGAATGGTTTTCCAGTTCCTTCTAGGTTTTTGCTTCGCTTTCACTTCCAGTAGCCTCTTGCATCTTAGTGGCTTTATTGCCTTGCTTGGGGAGAATTGATTAATAAAAAAAATATACATAGTAAGAAAATTGAAACACTCCTTTAGAGTAGGATGTGGCACAAAGTCTGTTTTATGTGGATGTCTATATGCATACATATGGGCCTAGGACAAAAATTGCCCAGTCCCAGCGACTACTGTCATGCTGGCGTTGATATTACACTGACTCCACCTCTCTTAGCAGTGCAACGAGAAAGGCGTTACCGCAGGGTTGGAATTCCCAAGACCAGGTGTCTTCTCACATCTAAAATGAAAAGAATAGTTACTTCGCTTTGATCCAGGCCACAAAAGACGAAACATATCACTAAGTACTTTTTCACTTTGTTATTACCAGAAATCATTCTGACAAAAAAAGGAAATCATAATTTAGTGAAAGAAAGGAATTAAAAGCTTCCTAAATTAAATAATATTTTTTTCTTTTGCGATTCAAAGTTTTCGGTAAGACGGGGTCCGTTTTTGCAAAAAAAAAAATTTTCGGGAATTTAAATTCTTCAAAAAATTCTGCTTTTAGTCTTACTCTTATAGTCACTAAAAAATTATCACGTTGAATTTCTCAAGTTTTCATAAAATTTCATAATAAATTAAATGTAAAAAAAAAAGTATATATATGCATATTTTTTAATTTTTACCAAAATTTTCTAACAAAAAATTTTTTTTGACATTTTTTTGAAAAAAATGTCAAAAATAATTTCATTCATTTGTAAATAAGTCTTGAAAATTGAATTAAAATTAAACAATTATTTGATTTTTGCAAGAATTTCCAAATTAATGTGTCACTGCAAAAAGGCTAAAATTTGTTAAAAACTAAGTACAAACACTGACGCAAGAAAAGTTTTTTTTTAATCAATTTTTCGAATGTTCTAAAAAGGAGTAAAAAATTTAATTAAATATTCAAAAATACTTTGATCTTTCCTCTTAATAATAGCATAAAGGTTTTATTTAAACGATATGTTTTCATGACGTTTCTGAGCATGTTTTCATCATGGTATGCTCATTTTTTTAGTGATTTCGTGGAGGAAGTACCCCACAAAGTTATTGCCTTTGTATTCTTTTCATTTTCAATTTATTTTAGTTTCACTTTTTGCCAATGTTTACTTTTTTTAAAAATAACTGAATGACGTAAGTTATAAAATCAAATAGAAACTTGTTTAGATTTTTGTTTTTATAAAATAAATAATTTATTAATAATAATTATTGTCCTGAAATATTTCATAATTCATTGTCACTTTATTAAAAAAAAAAATTAAAATGTCGTCGGAGTATCGATATTGCAATCAATAATTTGTTTCAAATACACCAGAGTATTTTACTCACTGGAAATAGGAAATTTAATCCTTTTTAGCTATCAATTAAAATTTCAAGAAAGCTTTTTTATAACATAAAAAAAAGTGTCGCGATTTTTGTGAAGGTGCCTAAATAAATACTAACAAATGTTTTCTTTTTTTACAAATATCTTAGCTTACATAAAGTAAGGAGTACAGAAATAAATAAATTATTTATCAAACAAAAGTATAAACCTTCTTAAACAGTGAACGTAATGGTTTCTAAAAAATCAGTCATGGGCCACATTCGCCATTTTTGGTTTTTCTCAATTCGATGCTTATGAGGAAAATATCATTTATAATTTGGTTTGTTTCTCTTCGTTTTCACTTGTTCATTCACTCTGATTTCTCATACATAACTTGGAACCAAATACAGAAACAGTGATTTAACTTAAATTATTTAAGTGCAATGTTCTTTGAACTTTTAAACTTCGAAGGTGACGACTTTTTACACTTTTCCTCATTTTTTTTTTTTAATTTATTGGCGATTTTCACTAAGATCAGATGTGTAAATTAAATAAAATATTTTTTTACTTTTTAGAAACGGGAAACATTCATTACATAATTGTTTTTCTCTGGAGAAGAAAATATATGTTTTATTATTTTTATTTAAAAACTTTTGGTACTTTCAAATGAATAAATTTTATTAGAATTAGAGAAATTAATTAAACACGAAACGGCGAGTGAATTCGTCACAGTTTAAAATTCAGTGTTTTTACCAAGACTTCAATTTATTTTATAGAAAAATATTTTCTCAAAAAACAAAAAAAAAACTTTTCTAAACTTCTAAAATGTTTGCGCCTGTGTTCTTCTGTTGTGAAATGGCACCTTCAACGAAAAATTACCTTGATTCTTGATTGTTGCCCATGTCTGTCTTCTTGTCTAAATTAAATATTGGAGTTTAAGCCTGACATACATACACACCGACGAACACCTTAATAATTATACTATCAATTTTTTACTGTTTATAAAAGGTAACTAATAAAAACAATTTATAAAACTGAAACCAGTTACTTACGAACTTAC